CTAAATAGCCAAAAAAAGCTACAGATACAATAGTAGTGAGCAAAATTAAAAATTGATGCATACCTTATTACGCTAACTTATAAAAAAGATATAACAATGTAGTTGATTAGTAAAGTTAAATTTTATAGCTCAGTGGACAAACTATCTTTAAATTATTTATAATTTAAGTTACACTTTAGGCGTTTATGGATAAAGCACATACTCCAGTTTTATTAGAAGAAATGTTAACGCTGTTATCACCACAAGATGGAGGTATATACGTGGACGCAACATTTGGGGCTGGAGGATATAGTAAAGCAATACTAGATGCTGCTAAATGTTCTATATATGCTATTGATAGAGATGAAACAGTTGCTCAGTACCTATGCCACGAATATCCTAATAGATTAAAGCTATTCATTGAGAAATTTAGCAACATAGAAAACGTACTGCATAGTAACAATGTTGAAGGTGTAGATGGGATTGTGTTTGATATAGGAGTTTCATCTATGCAGATTGGCAATGGGGAGCGAGGCTTTTCATTTATGCATGATGGACCACTAAACATGAGTATGGATAATTCCTGCTCTATTAATGCTGCAACGTTTGTAAATAGTTTACGCGAAGAGGAAATTGCAAATACTATATACAATTACGGAGGAGAGCGATATTCTCGTAGAATTGCAAGGGCAATAGTGAATATACGTAGGAAAAAGACTATTAAAACTACACTTGAACTTGCAGAGATTATTCGCTCTGTGGTTCCTCGTGGAAAATGCAAAATTGATCCTGCAACCAGGACGTTTCAAGCAATCAGAATTTGGGTAAATGATGAGTTAGGTGAGCTAGAAAAAGGTATTAAGGCTGCATCGAAATTATTAAACAAGAATGGTAAATTGATAGTTGTTTCTTTTCATTCTTTAGAAGACCGTATAGTAAAAAACTTTTTTAGAGATTTATGTGAAGAGGGATTTTCCTTTTTAAATAAAAAGGTAATCAAGGCAAGTGCAGAAGAAGTAAACAACAATCCGCGGTCACGCTCAGCAAAGTTAAGGGCTATACAGAAGATACTATGAAAGTATTTTATATTATATCAGTATTAATATTTTTTCTCAGCGTGATAGGGTTATTTAAGATAAAATTACATGTCCAACAGCTCAATAGGGAGTTGATCAAAATAAAAAATGAAATCAGTGTAGCGCAGAGAGACCTGAAGATTCTTCATGCAGAATGGAGTTATCTAAACAGTCCAAAAAGGCTTACACACTTTGCAAAAAAATACCTTAA